CCTACTAATTTTGACATGAATTAAGTAATGTTAATTAGGTGAAGCAAATTCGATCCTGTTCTTCATTATTTGACTTTAACTTTTTAAATAAACATGGAAAGATGAAAGTGATATCAGAGTTAGGTAGGTATTCATGGATTTGGACGAACTAAATAACCTTTTCATACACTCTATATTTTTATTAAAAAATTAAATAATAATTTGTAAATTTCTAATAAAATTGATTGACAGCTCAATGACAAGGAAGGGAAAGGAAATTTAAAAATTAAAATTCTTAATCTTGATTTCGCCTCGGTTGAGTCCGTAGAAATATTTCTTTTCTTTTTCTCTTGCGCATAGAATTTATAAGTTGGGAAAGAAAGATTTGTTCAAAATTCCTTTTTTATTTTGCTATTTGCATGAAAGAAATATAAGATTTTCTTTTTGGATTTCGGTTATTTTCCTTCTTTTTTTTCTTTTTGTCACATAAAAATACCAAACCAACATAAAGAAAATGATTTCTTCAATTTCAAACTCTAATCTAATGGCCACTGATCAAACATCTGGTGTGGCCAGGCGAAGGCAAGATTAAGAATTTGGAGATTTCAAATTTCATTAATAAACGCCAATAATTTTAGTAGGGGTTTATAAATTAACATACATATATATTTAATTAATTTTTAGTACAAATATAAGATCTACAGGTAAGCTACTGCATTCGTCCAAACTCATAAATCTCACCTACCTCCACCTCTGTGAGCTCCGCTTATGTGTGGCTTGCCAACTTCTTTTGTCATCATCCTCTCTCAACACATTGATCCAAACAATAATTCTAATTTAAGTAAGTGGCGTATCTAGAATTTATTATCAGCAATGCCATCTTTCAAAATGAAAAACAATAACAATATTTGTTTTAGATTCTTTAGAATTTCAAAATCATAAATCATAGTGATGTTGATGTTGCAATATATTTGACATTAAAGGTGTGTTTGGTAGGAAGGAAAATGTTAATCTGGAAAACAAGTAAATATTTGACTTATTTTCATGTTTAGCTGGTGAGAAATATCTTTCATTTTTTAATAGAGTAGAACATAATTTTTTAAGTTGGAATTTTTTTATTTAAAAAAATAAACTCTCGTGGGGGTGAAGGGGGTATGGGTTAAAGAATTAAAATTTGAAGTTGAACTTTACTTTTTTAAAAAAATAATAATAATTTTTTTTGGAGGGGCGAGGGGGAACTGGTAGGGGGCAAGTGAGGTGGGTGGGGTGGGTCGAGGGTAGGGGTAAAAAATTAAAATTTTAAAGTTTAAAATATTTTTAAAAATAAACTTACAATTTATTTATTTTCGAGGGGGGAGATGATAGGTGGGTAGGGGTGGGGGAGAGATAGAGGATAGGGGTGAAAAAATGAATTTTTGAAGTTGAAAATATTTTTAGAAAACAAACTTGAATTGTTTTTTTAGGATTGGGGGGGGGGGTAGGGGGGTCGAGAAAAGGGGGGAATGATGTTTTGAAATTAAAACTTAAATTTTTTTAGGAGTAGGGGTGGGGGTAGGGGGGCTAGTAGGAGTGGGGTGGTAGGGAGAAGGTTGAAAGAGAGTTTTGGAAAATATTTTCCTTAAGTTTTGAAGGAAAGTCATTTTTCTTAAATTTGAGGAAAATGAGTTGATTTGGAAAATATTTTTCAAAAATTTGATCCAACCAAACATGAAAAATTGAAAACATTTTAGAAAATTAAAAATCATTTTCTGGAAAATGTCCTCATACCAAACAAACCCTAAAGTCATAATGTAGCACTGCGAAATCTCATGAACTTTAATTTATATTATTCTTGTTAAATGGCTTAGTATCACAACTAGATGCTTCTTTTGGCTTCAAAGGACACTTTCCACGGAGTACATATTTACACTCTTTCAATAATTAATATAATGTCAAGATTTCTCCTTTATGTGAACTTATTTATGACTTTTAAGTTTTAATTGATCAAAAATAAATCTAAAGGAAGGTAAAAGAAAACATATTCAACTTAAGATTGAAAAAAGTTATAATGAATCATCAATAAAAATAATTGATTTCATACATCGACCACCCTTTAAAATTATTCGCATAATTCATTTAAATATTTTTTCTTAATTTTATATGTATTGAATACCTATATTGTAAGAATTTGTATCTATTAAATATGTTTTCTTGAGTGTTAAAGAGCATTATTTAGGGGAAACTTTTTTTTCTCTTCTTCTTCTTTGTTTCAATCCGTTCCCACCACCATTTGACCATTACAATCTTTTCTTATGTTTTAATGTGTAAATACATAGATAGTTTTTATTGATCATATCATATTATATGTTTTAGAATTTCTAATATGATTTTTAAAGATCGGGGATAAGATTCTATTTTAACCATGCAGAATCACATTATTGATATTGTGCAAGATATGATATAATATTGTGCTAGAATCTAGCTTGTATTATGGATCTTTCTATATAAATAGTCTATAATTTATCAATTCTAAAGCACAAAAATATTTGATTTCTATCATCGGATCTTTCTAATAGAGTCACATTTCTCACGATATTTTTCTATCAATTTTGATGAAAAATTATTCGATATAAAAGTGTCATTTTTGAATCTTTAATCAAGAAAAAACCTTTTTGGAATCTGGAATGGATCAACAACTACGTCAAATGAAAACAATTAAAAAAAATTGACACACTAACAATGCTTGTATCATTTCGTGGATTCTCATTTCTATGCATATAAATGTTGCACTCAGTCTTTTGTCTATTTAAATTGTCGGCAGAGATGTGGAAGTATCTAAAAAAAAGTAAATTCTTATTGTAATTATGCTCGTAGTTTGAGTAAGAACATACTCTTTCGGAATACAAGCAAGGAGATAAAGACATTTTTATTTGTTATTTGAGACTTATGAGAAACTTCTCAGAACAAAATACCAAAGCGACCTTTCTTTTAGAGATTTTAAAAAAGTTATGTTGGAGAGGAAGGACACTCAGGTAGTCCAATTTCTCATGAAGTTGAAACCTAACTTTGAGCCTATTAGAGGTAGTATTTTTAAGAAACTCTTCCAAATATCAATGTTGTTTTGGAGAACACATTCGTACAGAGACGTGCATCAGTACTCTGCATTCGTAGATTTGTTCTACATAATTGACGTCGATATGTATACATCAAAAGGTACCCATAAACCCTACAAACAGAGTTTACTTTAAGAATCTTAACCACAATATTTTGAGTGCAAAGAGTATGGTCATATTGCATTACATTGGAAGAAAACAAACACATGCAATTATTGTAATAAGTCTGGATATATAATTTTGGAGTACAATTGATGCACAAACAAGTATCAAATCAAGCACAAAGCTTATCATGAAGTTTATGTGAGTCAAGTAGTGATCACACCACTATCTTCATTATATTCAAAAATACTTCAAAAGATAAATACAAGATTCACTTGCAGCTTCTCCCTCGGGGCTATTTTAAGTTCTTTCATTGTTCCCTATACCTCTAAGAATTTAAATAGGAATTCATAAAATTGACATAGAAATACGGTTGTTCCTAACCATGTGATAGGAGATGTCCATAATTTACACTCTTTATCAACTCCGCTAGAAAGCCTAAGATTGGAAAATCATATTGCTCCACTTATGTTCTTCTTATCCCAAACTCACTGTTAATTTTATTTTAGTTGGACAACTGATGAAATAAAATTGCCTTGTTATTTTTCTTACATTCTTGTTGTCACTACAAAAAAATTGTGTTTAGCGAAGCCAATAATCCATCACTATATGAAGAAATTCGTCACTAATCAGGATTAGCGATGAATTAGCTACGAAATACTGACTGTTGCTATTATACTCGTTAGTAAGCTCATAGTGCCGAAAAATGAGTTCTGTCACAAATTTAGCGATTTCTTAGTGATGAACTACGTCCGTCACGATATTGTAGTGACAGAAAGATTTGTCATTATATTTATATAATTTTGTTGCTAATTTCATAATTCTATGATGAAAATTGATGTTTCGTCTCAATTTTAGCGACGTTATAGTGATGAAATATTTTCGTCGCCACATGTTAGCGATGGAAAGATTAGTCATTATATTTTTATAGTTTTGTTGCTAATTTCCTAATTCATTTCGTTATTTTGCAACAAAATTTTCATCGCAATATATTTTCTAACAACATATTAGGACTTTAATAAATCGTCGTTGATCTTTCACCAACATTCTTTTTACAGCATTGACCAAATAGTCGTTAAATTTGTTGCTAAAATTGTTCTTACGCACTGCTGAAAAATATTAAATTAAAATTACTAAATACTTCAATATTAACAAACATTCATATAATATAATACCCATAGACGATTCATAATATATAAATAGAAAATTCCAAAACAACATATTTTTGGTTAATATATACAAAGAAAACTATCAAGTACTCTTAAATAAACCCATGTTCATCAAAATATTACTACGCGCAATTTCTAGTTTTCAAGAAGTATGATATTATAAAAAATTGAAGTTGTGGACGTATTAACTTGAAATAGAGGTATCAACCTCGTCCATATTACTAGCAGGAGGCATGGGCGCCGCAGACATTGAATTTCCGAATGGAGTAATCGATGCTTTCACCTGCTGAACAATAATAGAAACAAGATGACTAGTTAGTGCAGACGTCATTTTCTTTAAAAACTCATCCATATTTGTTGTTGATGTTGATTGAGAAAATGAATGAGGTAATAATGATGACCCACAAAGTTTCTGCCCATAGTAATTTTTTGCTTCAGATCCAAGACCGTATATTCTTCTTTTCTATTCTCCTCCCGCAGCTTGGTAATATGCTTCATCTCAATATCAGTTTCAGACAATGTTTTTTCCTTTAATATTTATTCATATTTTTCCTATAATAAGTAGAGAAAATGACAAAGCAATAATGATATCGAACAAACCAAATTTTGAAGGAAAATGCAGAAAATAGACAAAGTCATGCTCAGTACAGTGTAGAGAGTGGCAGAGACACTAAGAATAAAGATGTCCCTTTCAGTTAAATATGGTACTATTCCATATGATTCTTTAAAATATATCATCTACTCATTACAAAGATAAAGTAGTATATGTGAGTGCAGGATAAGGCATCCCTTTGAAACTGAGCAAACTGATAGAAATGAAAAAACATCACAAGTTGACTAGAATGGAATTCATAGATGTGTGCACCATTTGTCTAGAATTTTGCATACCTTCTAAGAGAACATATCAATAGCTTTATCTAGTGTAGCAGTTGTTGTGTCAGTGGTAATAAACAGTAGGTAGCCAAGTAATTGCTTACAGCATCCACACCAAGAGAATATCATGTCAAGAGAGTTATCTCTTATTACAGTATCACACAGACTATGACAACTAACTATCAGGGAAATCCCCCTCCCCATCACCCCACCCCAACACTCGCTAAGTTCATCAGTGAGTGACTTTTGGACGCTAGAGTCACAGTAAAACAACAGTACTATCACACCCAAAAAAAAAGTAAAAAATTGCACCAGAAAAGCCTTAAAACAATAGAAGTAGTTTCTCTCTAAAACGATACTAGAATCATATCGAAAAGTCTCAAAACATCATTAGAATTATACCAAACAGCGACAACAAATACACTTTAGAACAGTAAAAAAAAGCACCATAAACAGTAGTAGGAAAGAACCGAAACACCTCCAAGTTTTAGACTTACATGGATACCTCGAGAACGCTCACCAACAAATGTTTTTCCATCATGTCCATGTGTATAAACATGCAGATGTAACTCACTTGGCGTGGGATCTCGGCCTTTTTCAATAGCCTATACAAAAGAAATCACGTAATATATATATATATATATATATATATATATATATATATATATCATATAAGAGAAGATGTTAATTATAGAGTTTTTAGAATATATATATATACTCACAAGTTTCTTGCAATGTTCTTCGATAGAAATAGAGCCACCAGTGTAAGTCCCAACAGCAGTTTCACGACGGTTCTAATAGACTCTGCACTTCCCCAAAGCTCCATCCATCTTTCCCACACATCTTGTGGTACGTAACCTGGCCTAACTCCTCCTTTTTTTTAATTTTAGAAATGAAATTTATATAATTCAATGCTGCCTTAACCATCCATTGTGTTTTGAGTTCGTTTTCACTAATGGAAACATCCCAGCAGAACTTTTTCTGAAACAAGTTTTGATAGTAGTACATTAATATCCTATCTATATATGTGAATACACTTGCTAAAATCACTTACAATGAAAACTTATACCTTAAATTCTCCAAAATAACCATTTCTTACATCATTTGAAACACCTTTCCAATTGATTCCATTGGGATCAACCTCACTTTTGAAATATTGGATATGAAACTACAGCATATTTGAGAAGGTTCCAGTCTGTATAAATTAAAAGAAGTTATTAGGAGGGGTATTATAAATCAGAATTCAAAGACAACAAGCGTCATCAACACAACAAGTAGGAATAAAATTAAAAGAATGGACTAACCCCGTAGAAGTTAGAAAGACATGGGTCCTTGGATGGCTACTGTTGGATTCTCCTTCAACAACTATATCTGTATGACTTGTTGGAACATTGATACGGGTAGAAATACCTTGACCTATTAGGTTACTGTCATTTGGTGTAGTTCGAGGTGTCTCGGAGATTGTTGGGCTAGTACTTTGAGTTGACGTTTCAATATTGGTCGGAGTACCACCTTGTTGAGGAGAAACTGTAGTGGACTTGGGAATAGTTGACATGTTTACACAAATAGCAAAATTATTCTTACCTGAGGGTTTTCCACGACCTCTGCCTCCAGCCATATCTATAAACAAAAAAAATATTGTTGTAATATAATGAGATTATATGGAATAATAATGTTGAAATATGAAAATTGTCTCTGTAATTAAGAGCTTGTTGATCAAGTATAAAAATTAGTTCTTGGATATACAAAGTAACAAGAGTAACTATCTAAACATAAGTAACAAAAGTGAAGGGTTCATGAACTTATATCAGAAGCTTTACACTAATGAATTTCTGATAAGGCTCCAAAACATTGTTATGGGTAGAAAGACCCTAACATGTTCAGTTACTCTCATTTGGTGTAGTTGGAGGTGTCTTATAGATGACTGGGCTAATACTCTGAGTTGACGTTACAATATTGGTCGGGGTACCACCTTTTCAAGGAGAAAATCTAGTGGGCTTGCGAATAGTTGGCATGCTTACACGAACATCAGGATTACTCCTACCTAAGGATTTTCCACGAACTCTGCTTCCATCCATACCTATAAACAAAAAAAAACTTTTGTAAGATAATCTAGAACAAAGATAAAATATGAAAACTACCTCTGTTAGAGCTTGTTGATATGAAATCTATCATGTGCTTTTGATAAGAATCCAGAAACTGATAGTTACACAATCACTGTCAAGTAATGTCATCCAATTCCAAGAAATGATCAAAAATTTACATTAAAATAAGTCTCCCAAAGATTTAATTAAAAATTGTAATAAGAAATTAAGCACACTTAATTCAAAGACAAGAGCTATTTCTTTTTAAATCCTAAACTGAAAAGCAGAAACTACAGCAGATTATCCTTGATTGAAAATCAGAAACAAACAAAATATAGTGAAAATACAATAGCAAATGATCAAGCACTAGTCACTGTCTTCTTCAAACTTTTCCTCTTCCTCTTCCTCGTCCTCTTCCTCTTCCTCTTCCTCATTCTCCTCCTCATCCTCATCCTCATCAGTTTCATACTCTTCTTCTGTGGATACTATGTGGATTTCACGATTCTCTTGCAAAAGTCCATCATCAATGGGTTCATCCATTTTAATTAAATCTCCATTTGGATCATTTAAGAGTAGAAGCTCATCAATGGAAACTGTCATATCTATATCATGGACTTCAAGTTCTTCAACTTGAAATGGAACATTTACTTCTGAAACTATTGCCACTTCCTCATTAGGCAATTCAATTAAATTTTGAGGTTTGACCTTCAGCAAAGCTACCCAATCATCATTTTCCTTTTTCTTTTTAGGATAAGGTACATAACACACTTGTGTTGCTTGCATTGCAAGAATAAAAGGTTCATATTTTTTATATCGACGACAATGGTTAATATCAACCAATTTGAAATTAACTGTGCCTTTTAACACCAACATCCATAGTTGGGTCAAACCATTCACATTTGAATAATACAGTTTGCTTTAAAGGTGATTCACGGTATTCCACTTGTATAATCTCTTTTATCCGTCCATAGTAATCACCAATATTTAAATCTGAGATACAAATTCCACTATTCATTATTGATCTTGTGCATTTTATCCATTCACAAAATACACAGAATAACATGTAGCTATTAATGGTCCACGAGCAAGACTACACAATAATTCATTCTCAATGGGATTGCATTGGACCTATATTTAAAAAAAATGTAAGACTTAGTAAATTTTAAAACCAAATTTAAGTATGTTACTGTATAAAAGATAATTTCACAATACTCACAAATTCTTTGAACCATATACAGAAATTTTCTTCAATACTCTCATCTATTTGGCCCTGAGATAGATTCGGAAATTCTTCTTGCAAACGTTGCTTGAACATACTTCATTAAACAAAATAAATTCAATAGAAAAGTAGTGATTTAAGGATATTTTTATATAATTAAAAAAATAAAATTAACTTTTGTTACCTCACAAACGACTCAACCTCCTCACAATTTAGTAAGATATAAGTTTGGGCAGCCTTTTTTTTTTTAGGGATAAATCCCTTTTTTTTTTTGCTTCTCCCCATAGTCGGCCTGGATGGGAGAATATTGATAAATTTACTTCAATATCTTCTTTATACCCACCATCATCATTACGGTCCACGTTATGAGTCCGTGTCATGACATGAGGTTCAAAATAATCAGAAAACAGTTGTGTTGACTCTGTCGTCAAGTACGCTTCACAAATGGAACCCTCAACACTAGCTTATTTCCAATAATCCTTTTAAGAGTTCCTAGATACCTGAATATATAACATGTATGGACCATTACATAGTAACTAATATTATATAAATTTTTACATTTACCTTTCAAAAGGGTACATCCATCGATATTATACAGGTCCAGCTATCCTTGCTTCATATGAAAGGTGTATAGAAAGATGTTCCATTGAGTCAAAGAATCCGGGAGGAAATATACATTCTAACTTGCACAAGATTTGTGGGATATCTCTCTCTAATCTCTCCATGTCATCAACTCGTAGAGTTGTAGAAGTAAGATCTTTGAAAAGTAAGCTCAATTCTGTAAGTGCTTGCCAACACATTACTCGGAAGTAGTTCGCGATAGATAATAGGCAATAGTTGTTGCATGAAAACGTGACAATCATGACTTTTCATGCCATATATCCTTTTCGTATTTTTGTCTAGACATCTACCCAAATTGGAAACTTACCCATCTGGAAACTTTAAGCCTTTCACCCAATTGAAAAAGATTGCTCTTGCTTCCTTGTCTATCGTATATATAGCTTTGGGATATTTTCCATTACTATCCTTTGTCTATTGCAAAACTTTACTGTATCTTGACGTGATTGTGGATTGTCTTTGATTTTTTTTATCAAAACTAAGAACGGTGTTAAACACATTATCAAAGACATTTTTTTCAATATGCATCACATCAAGATTATGTCAAATCAAGTTAGAACTCCAATAAGGCAAATCCCAAAAGATGCTTTTCTTTTTCCATCCGCAAGACTTACATACTTTTCGATTGACTTGTTTTGCATCTAACTCTGTTACTAATCTTATGTCCAAATCACAAATAGGGCGCAGGTGATCTTTGGACAGTCTTGTTTTTAAGAAAGTTCTTACGATCTCTCCTTAATGGGTGATGTTGGTCAAGAAACATCCGATGACAATCAAACCAAGACGTTTTCCTACCATGGGTCAATCTAAAAGATTTTGTTTCCTCCATACAATAGGGATATGCAAACTTACTTGCAGTACTCCATCCTGATAACATAGAATATGCTGGAAAGTCACTGATTGTCCACATCAAAGTTTCCCTTAGTTGAAAGTTTTGCTTTTTTGAGATGTCAAATGCTTGCACACCGGTCTCCCATAACAAAGTAAAATTCCTTTATTAGAGGCTGTAAATAAACATCAATTTTTGTTTGGCTTTTTTTAGCCCTGGAACAATCACTGTTAAGAACATATAGGCCTCTTTCATACACATTTCTGGAGGTAAATTATAAGGTGTGACAATAACTGGCCATGAAGGGTATCTACTCCCAGATTAACTAAATGGTTGGAAACTATCAGTACATAATCCCAACCTTACATTTCTTGGTTCATTAGAAAAAAAAAGGATGAGTGTCATTTAAGTGCTTTGAAGCCACAGAGTCTGATGAATGACACATTACACCATCCTCTTTTGTATGATCATGATGTTATCTCATGTCGACAGTTGTAGCATGAGATGCATACAATCTTTGGAATCTAGGAATCAAAAGAAAATAATACATTTTCTTGTAAGGGATCAATTTACTCTTACGAGAGGCAACGCGATGCTTGTATCTATCATGTCCACAAAATGTACAAGATGTAAGGTGTTCATCATCACCCCAATATAACATACACCCTGATTCACAGCAATCAATCTTTTCAACTGGAAAACCCAAGCTACGCACTAGCTTCTTGGTCTAATAATAGCTATCAAGCACTATGTTATCTTTAGGTAAAGCGTCTTTCAGCAATTACATCATTTGGTTATAACCTCTCTGTGACATGTTGTTTTCCATTTTAATATTTAATATTTGAGAGACAACAACAAGTTGAGAGAGGGAAGAATCGGGATATAATTTTGTATCAACTGCTTGTAGCAAATCATATAATTTTTGAGACTCGGGATTAGGATCTTCCTCCATTGAAGGTTCACAAGGATGAGACGACTAATCTTTAGTATTTCAAAAGATTGCCAACTTGAACCTTGGGGAAAGTTAAGACCAGCTGAATCTAAAATCATTTGATGGTATGGATTATCATATTCTAATTCAGGTGTAGCACCACCATTCAAATTTTGATCACTAGAAATCTCACCAATCATATTTTTTTCTCCTTGATGTTTCCAAATAAAATAGTTATCAACAAATTCAGATTTATAAAGGTGATGCTTGATCGTTTCAACATCCGTGAACCTAAAGTTGTGACGTTTCTTACATGGACATCTAACTATATTGCCGCTCATGTGATTCTGTTGCAAACATGCAAATTGGATAAATTTATCCACTCCAATTACAAAACTAGAATTTATAGCCCCTCGATCATCCAACCTATCATATATCCAACCACGCGCTAGATTATTCATGTTCCTAATAAAGTTTAAATTTACAAGAATAAAAAATCAATAACAAG